ATTGTTATAGTGATGTCATACCTGCTATATTCTCCGTACAACCTAGGTCTCACACACATGGATGTCATACACACTATCATGTCTCCCAACATTGTTATAGTGATGTCATACCTGCTATATTCTCCGTACAACCTAGCTCTCTACACATGGATGTCATACACACTATCATGCTCCCAACATTGTTACAGTGATGTCATACCTGCTATATTCTCCGTACAACCTAGCTCTCTACACATGGATGTCATACACACTATCATGCTCCCAACATTGTTACAGTGATGTCATACCTGCTATATTCTCCGTACAACCTAGTTCTCTACACATGGATGTCATACACACTATCATGCTCCAAACATTGTTATGTGATGTCATACCTGCTATATTATCCGTACAGCCTAGTTCTCTACACATGGATGTCATACACACTATCATTCTCCAAACATTGTTATAGTGATGTCATACCTGCTATATTCTCCGTTACAACCTGCTAGTTCTCTACAACCTAGTTTCTACACATGGATGTCATACACTATCATGCTCCCAACATTGTTATAGTGATGTCATACCTGCTATATTCTCCGTACAACCTAGCTCTCTACACATGGATGTCATACACACTATCATGCTCCCAACATTGTTACAGTGATGTCATACCTGCTATATTCTCCGTACAACCTAGTGATGTCATACACTGCTATATTCTCCTGCTATATTCACAACCTAGCTCTCTACACATGGATGTCATACACACTATCATGCTCCCAACATTGTTACAGTGATGTCATACCTGCTATATTCTCCGTACAACCTAGATGTACACATGGATGTCATACACACTAACATTCTCCCAACATTGTTATAGTGATGTCATACCTGCTATATTCTCCGTACAACCTAGCTCTACACATGGATGTCATACACACTATCATTCTCCCATCATTGTTATAGTGATGTCATACCTGCTATATTCTCCGTACAACCTAGCTCTCTACACATGGATGTCATACACACTATCATTTTCCAATCATTATTATAGTGATGTCATACCTGCTATATTCTCTGTACAACCTAGCTCTCTACACATGGATGTCATACACACTATCATTCTCCCATCATTGTTATAGTGATGTCATACCTGCTATATTCTCCGTACAACCTAGCTCTCTACACATGGATGTCATACACACTATCATTCTCCAAACATTGTTATAGTGATGTCATACCTGCTATATTCTCCGTACAGCCTAGCTCTCTACACATGGATGTCATACACACTAACATTCTCCCAGCATTGTTATAGTGATGTCATACATGCTATATTCTCCGTACAGCCTAGCTCTCTACACATGGATGTCATACACACTATCATTCTCCCAACATTGTTATAGTGATGTCATACCTGCTATAATCTCCGTAGAACCTAGTTCTCTACACATAGATGTCATACACACTAACATTTTCCCAGAATTGTTATAGTGATGTCATACCTGCTATATTCTCCGCACAACCTAGCTCTTTACACATGGATGTCATACACACTATCATTCGCCCAACATTATTATAGTGCTGTCATACCTGCAATATTCTCCGTACAACCTTGTTTTCTAAACATTGATGTCATACACACTATCATGCTCCCAACATTGTTATAGTGATGTCATACCTGCTATAATCTCCGTACAGCCTAGCTCTCTACACATGGATGTCATACACACTATTATTCTCCCAACATTGTTATAGTGATGTCATACCTGCTATATTCTCCATACAAAATACCTCTCTACACAAGGATGTCATACACACTATCATTCTCCCAACATTGTTACAGTGATGTCATACCTGTTATATTCTCCGTACAGCCTAGTTCTCTACACATGCATGTCATACACACTATTATTCTCCCAGCATTGTTATATTGATGTCATACCTGCTATATTCTCCGTACAACCTAGTTCTCTACACATGGATGTCATACACACTATCATTCTCCCAGCATTGTTATAGTGCTGTCATACCTGCAATATTCTCCGTACAGCCTAGTTCTCTACACATGGATGTCATACAGACTTTTATTCTCCCAGCATTGTTATAGTGATGTCGCACATGCTGTCATTCACACAGTTAATTTTCCAGAATTTTTGTAGTGATGTCATACCTATATTCTCCTTACAACACAATTATCTACACATGGATGTCATACACACCATTCTAATTCTATTATATCAATATCAGAGTGCTGTGTTGTCCACACAACCTACATTTGGCACAAAGATGTCATACAGGAAATATGTTCCATTCACCCTAGCATTCACTCCCTGTAAACCGTAGTTTGATTAAATTAATGCCACAAGGGCAATCTCTTCTAGACATTTGTTCGTGGTCCTGTCAGTGCCTGGTCAACACAGACTACAAACTCCGTACACCCCAGCTACGCTATACTAAGGCCAGTGTGTGTTCCATACCGGATACATGTACTTCCCCGCACAGCCTGTGTCCCGCTCACCAGCAGTACAGATTAACACCAAGGGCGTTGAATCTTGATATTAGTTTTAATGTTATTAGTATTTCGAAAATAAAAGTGCCCACATCTTCACCAGTAAAATATAAAGTATAAAAGCCATTCACAATTTGTATTGATAACACCAATGTCCATAATGAAAAGTAAAATACAAAGTATGAAAGTCATTCACAATTTGTAGCGAACACAACAGTGTCCATTATCACCAGTAAAATACAAAGAATAAAAGCAATGCACAATGTGTAATGAATACAACACCGAGAGCAAAGGAGTGAAGTGTGAGAAAAAAACACCATGTTCATGAAACACTCATTCTACTTTCCAGAGCAGCTGAATCTTGTGGTCGTGAAAGGAAACTATAACTCCAATGGAAAGTCCAGTTACTATTAATATCATCAAGTTTCCCTTATCTACAAGACAACCACCATACCCGTAGACAGTTACGTGACAGAATGTACGTGATGGGATCATACACGCTGGAGTTTGATGTCAAGCAACACACCAGAGTTCTCCTACGTGACGGAGGGCTGTAGATTACGGAAGATTATAAGCCTAGAGAGATGACAACGTGTACATGACCAGGGTGAATACCCCGGTTGGTTGACATGACATATTCATGACCAATCGGCTAATAGGACCACGATGCAGAGTTCTATTTAAAAAATAAATGAATATGACGTCATTGTTAACATCCATGCGAGGTATACTCAAGAATGCATACAGTATAACATCGTGTAACCATCTTATTTCGTATTCGATAAGAATAAAACTTTTATTAGTTCAGATGTTCTTTTTTACATACCCCCATAAATGGTTGACCATATGCATGGACCATATAGCGATGAAAAAAATGGGAAAATCAATTATACGACATAAGTTCATCGAAAATGTAGGTGAATAATATTTCTACATAAATGCTTAAACGTCGAAGTGGTGAAAATGATATGAATAGATCACTACATACCCGTGATGCCATTTGGTATTCGCGTATCACATATCCTGGCCTAACTGCAGTAAGAAAGCTTCCACGACTGTCCTTTACTGTGCGAAATAGCAAATAGATGTTTGTACCATTGAATTTAAATCGAAAGATTTTAGTGAATTTTTCAACAGTGTTTGAAGCAAACAAATATTGTGAATTATTACGTTTTAGGGTGATGGCTACCAGTGCTTTTCATCCCCACTTATCTGCATGTGTATCAAGCCAGAACGTGATATATAATCAAAACATTATTCATAACAGGTCTTCCTCTGGTTATTAAGAAAATTATATCGTAAAATATAATTGTACATAGACTAAACTATGTTTATAACGAACTGTCGGTTATAACGAAATGTCTTTGGTCTGGGTCACTTGCTTCATGTTTTACTCGAAAGGCATATAACGATCTGTCGGTTATAACGAAATGTCTTTGGTCTGGGTCACTTGCTTCATGTTTTACTCGAAAGGCATATAACGAACTGTCGGTTATAACGAAATGTCTTTGGTCTGGATCACTTGCTTCATGTTTTACTCGAAAGGCATATAACGATCTACGGTTATAACGAAACTGAAATTAGTGGTCCCTTTAAATTCGTTACAATCGTAGTTTACTTTATTTGTTGTGCACGACCAAGCACAAACAAATATGTGTGTATAATGCCTTTCACGTGAACAGACATCTTATCCTCGTAGTTTATTCTGAATTTTTAATGAAGTTTTAGTTAGTTGTAAAATGTCGAGAACATTTCTTCGTGCTCAAATACAGAACGTTTTTATTGCTATACTTGCTTTGGAGCAGCCAATTATTTAACAAAATTAGACAGGACCTATTTACAGCGTTACTCACTGAGAGCCGACCCACCTACTATACAGCCCGGTGATAAATCATTAATGTCCAACACGCCTGAGCCAAACTACACTCTGACGTAGGACGCTCACAGTGGGTAGATGCGCTGATCGTATTGAAAGAACCGGATTTAAAATACCATCTCGCTCTTCGTGGGTGATATGAAATCTGCATAATTTTAATTTGATGCACGTATTCAAATGATCACGATCTCACCTTACGGATATAATCAATTGCAATTTCCTACATATCTTTAAACTGTTGCGGGCGGGAGTGTGATCGTATTATCGCGGTTACTGGCAGTAAATGATAAAATAGGCACACGCAACGGTATTCAGATATCCATCGTATCGGGGGTAAACGGGGATTTCCCGTCACGAAGCGGGTGCATCTAAAAATAGACCGTAGGAAGATCGGATGTAACCAATCAAATTGCTTATAACGACCGTGGCCCGCTCGAAGTGATTTCTCAGCCTGTTCACACTGAATAGAACGTGTTAAATTTTAGAGTAGGAAGTTTGACGTAATACTTATTATTATCAACCGAAGCTTTGTTAATGGAAGTTCTTGACAAGAATGACCCCTGTTCCGTGTTCTGGTGTATATATAGAGATAATGCCACATTCCTGCCTCATTTCTGTCAAAGCCTCCAACTCATCACATAGGTCTGAGAATGTGTCACCATCCTGGATACCCAATGCTGATGTTGGCGAGTTTCTGTTTGTATATGGTAAATATCTGAGCTTTACACTCATCTGAACCTTTTCACAAGGTCGAATCATGCAAATGTAATTTTTGGGACTCGAAAAAGAAGCAATTTTTTATTTTCTGTTTTAGGTAATGATAAAAGTGTGTGGGTAATATACATTGCTTAAACAAAGTTAAAATAACCAAATTATTTAATATTACTATAATTAGATTCTTAGAGAACAACAACAAAAATGCCAAAAACGTTTATCATTTGTATAATTCCTAAAATGTATAACTTGTTTTGATTATTTGGGTTGTTGCTATTATTATATATATTATAAATATATATTTGTAGACATTATTGAAAACAGAATACTGATGAGGCTAAGAAATTCATTACCTGCAATGCATTCGATATCTTTATTGATTTGCCATATCATCATTATCTGAAGGTGATGATATGATTTAAGTAACGCTTTAAGTACTGCTGTAAACTGACAGTATGACTTTAAGCTTTGATTGTTTGGTGTTTAACGCGGTATGTTTGTATGTTTAACGCCTCGCTCAGCAGTATTCCAGCAATATGGCGGCGAGTCAGCGAGCCTGACCATCCGATCCCGTTAGTCGCCTCTTATGACAAGCATGTTTTGCTGAAGACCAATACTGACCCGGATCTTCATGGGTAGTATGAGTTTAAGCATACCATATGAATGGATTCGGACAATTTGACAGTCGTATCATGTTTGGTTTGAAAGCGGTGATTGATACAGAGACATGTGTCTGTCCATGCCTGGTAATGATTAGACAACTTCTAGACATAGACTGGGTCTAGATCCGGGTCCTGTCAGTATCTGGTGGCGGTGCCAGCAGGTTATATTGACAAATCCTCACAAAGACTGCAAGACATATTGACAAATAGAGGCAGTGACAGCAGGTTATATTGACAAATCCTCACAAAGACTGCAAGACATATTGACAAATAGAGGCAGTGACAGCTGGTTATATTGACAAATCCACACAAAGACTGCAAGACATATTGACAAATAGAGGCAGTGACAGCAGGTTATATTGACAAATCCTCACAAAGACTGCAAGACATATTGACAAATAGAGGCAGTGACAGCTGGTTATATTGACAAATCCACACAAAGACAGCTGCAAGGCATATTGACAAATAGAGGCAGTGACAGCTGGTTATACAAATCCTCACAAAGACTCCACACAAAATACTGGTATTGACAAATAGAGGCAGTGACAGCTGGTTATATTGACAAATCCACACAAAGACTGCAAGACATATTGACAAATAGAGGCAGTGACAGCTGGTTATATTGACAAATCCTCACAAAGACTGCAAGACATATTGACAAATAGAGGCAGTGACAGCTGGTTATATTGACAAATCCACACAAAGACTGCAAGACATATTGACAAATAGAGGCAGTGACAGCTGGTTATATTGACAAATCCACACAAAGACTGCAAGAAATATTGACAAATCTATGTAAAGACAGCAAGAAACATTGTCAAATCTACGCAATGACTGCAAGAAATATTGATAAATCCTGGACATGAGTGTGGATGTTGTTACCACACATACGCAAAGACTGCACGAAATATTGAAAACACTTTGTTGAGAAAACGAGTGAAACAATATCACAAGACACATTCGTAACACAGATCTTCTCTCTTCCAGCTGTTCACTGTCGGCGTCTGCAAAAAACGAAGTGAACCAACAATATGCAAAGATTCCCCGGAATTCTCAGTTGACGAAACCATGAACCTCCTGCTCCAACCACCCAAACACTCCATGCCCTTCAATAGAACAGACACCGAGAAAACTACCTCCACCCAGGAAGATTCAAGGTGTCCAGGTAACGGTTTCGGCGGTACCCCTCCGCTGAGCACGTGCCCGCACTATACCGTCTTGAACTATGACCCTAACCGAATCCCTCAGCTGGTGTTCGAGGCTAGATGTCGCTGCAAAACATGTCTAACCGAGACGGGCAGTTCTAAGGGTCAATGCAAGCCTGTGTATTACTATAGGCACGTTCTTCAAAAAGACACCAATAAGGCAAAAGAATGTTATTTTCGAAAAGTGAAAGCCTTCAGCGTGGGATGTCATTGTATTGGTTACAACGTACAACCAGACTCTCCGAAAACACCCCGGTGATGCGATCATGTCTGTAGACTAAGATGATATCATTATTTCCAACTTTCACTTTGTATGGTGCTGAACTCCAAATGAACTGCAATCATTTGTAATATTTTATTGAAAATCCTTACGAACTTTTAAATCATGTGTATAATGTGATATTAAGTTATTGTGATACTGATAGTCTTGGTTGACTGATTCTGATTGTCTTGGTTGACTGATACTGATTGTCTTGGTTGACTGATACCGATAGTCTTGGTTGACTGATACTGATTGTATTGGTTGACTGATACTGATTGTATTGGTTGACTGATAGTCTTGCTTGACTGATACCGATAGTCTTGGTTGACTGATACTGATTGTATTGGTTGACTGATACTGATAGTCTTGGTTGACTATATAGCGATGTCGATCCAAAGTGTCGAATTCGACTGATATCAAACGACACTGCCTTATATTTGCATTGTGTTTGGACACTTGTCTCTGAATGCTTGTGTACATATTTTGTTGTTTAGTTGGTAACATTGTAAAACCCCGTTATCCGGGCGATTTCTGTCATCATACAATACATATCTTCGTCACCAGTTTTTGGTACTGGCTTAACGGGGTTCCACTTTATGCAAAGCATTTTCCGTTAACACAAACGTAGAACCAAATGAGATTTGTACTTTCAAAATATATAAGCTGGTTCTTACTTTATTCATTTGCAATGGGAACTGTTTGTGTTTACGGGATAAGGCTATTCTAAGCACTGTCAGATTTTGTTTTTGCCACTGTTTAAGTGAAAAATTACTCAGAAGCAAATTGTATGCATTTATTTATTCAACTCTGTATTTATATATTCGTTTATAATGCGAAACTCGATATGTTGTAGTTGCCTATTGACGCCAGAGTGCGTGATCGGGTTGATGGGTGTTTGTTGGACTGAGTGTATAAGTGAGTAAGTGGAGAGTGGATAAACAAATGTTTGGGTAGGTGTTTTCGGGTGAGGCTGTGAGTGAGAGATTGAGTGGGTGGATCTGTGGATGTGTGGCTTCAGCTTAGTGAGTGAAAATGGTTTTACACAACTTATAACGATATTCAGGTCATATCGGGTCTTATCATAATGTCATTGTACGAAAATACGGCACTGAAGACCGGACTACGGCGGAACACTCAGCTACTGCCCTACCCTGGCACCTCGTACCTTTAGACATAATCAGAGTGAGTGAGTGAGTGAGTGAGTTCAGTTTTACGCCGCTTTTAACCATATTCCAGCTATATCACGGCGGGGGACACCAGAAATGGGCTTCACACATTGTAACCATATGGGGAATCGAACCCGGGTCTTCGGCGTGACGAGCGAACGCTTTAACCACTAGGCTACCCCACCGCCCGCTATTGCCGTGATGGTATTGTATTTATTGAGTGTTTTTTTGGTTTGTTTGTCTCGTTTTTATTCCATGCACTTAGCCTTAATCGTTAGTACATTACGATTACATCAACTTTGATGTCGGTCGTGATCTGTGCTTAAGGTCCAATGTTAGCCAATGAGCGTGCTCATGGCACTATAAACTATGTATGTGATATTCACAGAAGTGTTTAGAGAATTTTTCTCTCGTGATGTATGAATATTCTCATTCAACTTATGAATCTTGTTGCCCAATGTTTTGTTACAATACTCATGTCACACATTGTTGTTAATAAATGGTTTCAAATGTACAAAATGTTGAATGTCAGATTTCTGCTATCAACCCGTTTTTCACAGCTAGTTTATTCTACGTATTTTACACACGAACAACGATGTGTTTGAGAACACTTATGAATATGAAATCTCATATCGCTCCGGAATTTGTAAGTTTTGTTTCGCGCACTTGTTGTTGTTCTCTTTGTCCAACAACATTTATTATCAATCTTACTCTCTGTTTTAAGTTTCCATCCCCATACCACAAACGCGATACCCCCGACACACCCGGAAGACCCCATTACTAATATTGGAGGAGGGCTGAACGTCCTAAGACTTAACTAAGACCTACGTTCTATATTTCAATCTTCCCTGTATATCTGGGTCATCGTAGCTAAGTGTTGACGTCGAGGCTCAACACTAAACACCTTGTCTTATTTCTACAAACAACAATATATGTATATATGTACCTACCACCTACCTGTGCCTGTACCTACCTGTGCCTGTGTGCTGTACCTGTGTACCTGTGTGCCTACCTCCTTGTGCCTTGCTTGGGCTTGTGTGCCTACCTACCTACCTACCAACCTACTGTGTCTACCTACCAACCTACCCACCTGCCTACCAAGCTTGCCACCTACCTACCTATCAACCTGCTTCTACCTACCTACCTACCTGTGCCTGCCTACCTACCTCCTACCTACCTGCCAATGCCTGTGCCTGCCTACCAACCTGGACCTGCCTGCCTGCCTACCAACCTAATACCTACCTGTCCAGACCTGCCTGCCTACCTACCTGGACTTGCCTACCTGCCTGTCTGCCTGCCTGCTGCTACCTACTCACCTAATGCCTGACTGCCCACTCACCATCCTGACTGTCTGCCTGCCTACCTACCAACATAATAATTGGTTCATCACCAAGGATCACCTACCTACCAACATTTGACCTACCTACCTACTTACCTACTCAACCAAAACCAAATGACTGCCTTACCTACCTGACCTAACGCCTACCTACCTACCAACCTACCTGCCTACCTACCATACATCCTACTTTCCACCTGCCAACCAAATGACTGCTTGCTTCCAGGTGCCGCGTTATGTACTGGGCTCCTGCAAGAATAAAGCCACCCGTTGTGGTTTCAAACCAGAACTTTGTTTGATAACGTTTAACTAGAGCATTGTTTGACACCCATGAGTTTGATATGCCTGAAGGCGTAGCAATGTTCTCTCAAGGAATCGAGAAAGGTGTTTGTCAGCAAATATCTGTTCCATGGGGTTGTTGACGATATTTAAACCAGTATTTTTGACTGAATATAACTACCTACTGACCCACGCTTACTCTTACCTACCAACCTAATACCTGCCTACCTGACCTTACCTACCTACTTACCTACCAACCTAAATGACTGCCTACCTACTGACCTACGCCTACCTACCTACCAACCTAATACCTGCCTACCAGGACCCTACTTCTACCTACTTTCCCTCCCCAACGTAATGCCTGCCTACCTACCTACTGTAATACCTACCTACCTACCTACCAACCCACATCTACCTACCTACCTACCCAGCCTAATGCCTACCTACCTACCTACTACCTACACTACCTACCTACCTACCAACCTAATACCTACCCACCTACCTACCAACCTAATACCTACCTACCCCTACCTACTTACCTACCTACCACCTACCTACCAACCTAATACCTCACCTTACCTACCTCCCAACCTACATACCTACCTACCAACCTAATACCTACCTACCTACCAACCTAATACCTGCCTACCTACCAACCCCAATGCCTACCACCCCCTACCCACATCCCTACCTACCAACCTACCTACCTACATACCTATCAACCTACCTACCTACCTACCTCAACCTTCCTACCTACCAACCTACCTACCTACCTACCTACCAACCTAATACCTGCCTACCAACCTACCTACCTACCTACCTTTCTACCTACCAACCTACCTTCCACCCACCTACCTACCTACCAACTACTAATGCCTACCCCACCTACCCTACCTACCCACCTGCCTACCCACCTACACCTACCTTTTCCTACCTACCTACCAACCAAACTACCTGCCTACCAAATGACCACCTACCTAATGCCTACCTACCCCTACCTACATCCCTACCTCCACCAACCTACCTACCTACATCACCTATCAACCTACCTACCCACCTATCAACCTTTCCTACCTACTCACACCCACCAACCTACTACCTACCTACCTACCAACCCAATACCTGCCTACCAACCTACACGTACCTACCTACTCACCTACCTACTACCTACCACCCTAATGCCTACCTACCTACCTACCTACCTACCAACCCATTACCTACCTACCTTTCCTACCCATTCCTACCTACCTACCCACCTAATACCTGCCTACTTACCTACCAACATATTACCTACCTACCTGACCTACCTACCTACTTACCTACCAACCTAATGCCTGCCTGCCCACCTACCAACCTAATACCTGCCTACCAACGTACCAACATAATACCTACCTACCTGACCTACCTACCTACTTACCTACCAACCAAATGACTGCCTACCTACCTACCTAATGCCTACCTACCCCCTACCTACATCCCTACCTACCAACCTACCTACCTACATACCTATCAACCTAATACCTACCTATCAACCTTCCTACCTACCAACCTAATACCTACCTACCTACCAACCTAATACCTGCCTACCAACCTACTACCTACCTACCTACCTACTTACCTACCACCCTAATGCCTACCTACCTCCCTACCTACCTACCTACCAACCTAATACCTACCTACCTTCCTACCTACCTGCCAACCTAATACCTGCCTACTTACCTACCAACATATTACCTACCTACCTGACCTACCTACCTACTTACCTACCAACCTAATGCCTGCCTGCCCACCTACCAACCTAATACCTGCCTACCAACGTACCAACATAATACCTACCTACCTGACCTACCTACCTACTTACCTACCAACCAAATGACTGCCTACCTACCTACCTAATGCCTACCTACCTACCTACCAGACCTACCTACCGACTTACCTAACAACCTAATGCCTGCCTACCTACCTACCAACCGTATACCTACCTACCTACCAACCAACCTTACCACCCTACCTACCTACCAACCTAATAGCTGCCTTCCTACCAACTAATACCTACTTACAAGACCTGCCTACCCCATACCACCTGCCTATAATAGACTACCTATACCTGCCTACCTACCCAATACTCTACCTACCTACTTACCTACTTATCCCCAACCTAATTCACCTTCACTACCTACCAACTTATACCTACCTACCAACCAAAAATACCTTTCTCAGACTTACCTACCACCAGCCTAATAGCTGCATACCCTACCTACCTACCAACCTACCACCTACCTACCAGACCTACCAAACTTGATGCCTACCTACTTACCCACCTACCTACCTACCACCACCCATCCTACCTACCTACCTACCTACCAGACCTACCTCCACCAACCTGTAACCTACCACCAACCCATCTACCTACCTACCTACCAGACTCCACCTACCAACCCACCACCTGCCTATCACCTACACCCACCTACCTACCACCCATCACCACCTACCCACCACCCACCTAC